CTTTTCTTTTTCCTCCAACAACTGCTGTAATCTCTCTTCTTGTTTATTTTCTCGTTCTTCTTGTTTCTTTTGCTGTTCTTGTATTGCTGTCATCAAATCTGCTAAGCTGTAGTTTGATTTGCCACCTCTCGTTTCCATCTTCTTTTTTCTTTTTTCGTCCCACTCTCTGACACCAATTTGTTATGTCTCTGTTCGTTCGTTAATTTCCCGTAGAAATTCTTTCCGAGAAACTTCAACGATACAAGTCCTTTCTTAACTAAAACTAGTTTATTATCTATCGATACAACTTTATAATACACAGAATTCCAACGGTCACTTTAACTTCAACACACGCTATAATTCACAACGATTCACGCACATTACTTAAGGTCACTACAGCACTTAACTCAATTGTCCGTCTCTGTCTGTCTGCAATTCTCTTCTTGCCGTCACTTTACTTGCCGGCTTAAATACTCTAAAAGCGTACATCCAGATTACACTCGTCTCTTCCTGAATCTTCTAGATACTCATCACGTGTTACTAGTATCACGTGACTTCCGCTGTCGTAACAGTATCCCACTTAACCTTGTTTGTAGAGGTCTGTGTCACATATGTTAGAGATAATTCTTAATTTTTGTAATCTAACTTGTGATTGGTCAGCTACAGGGTGAGTTTTCTTTGTTGTTGTTTTTTTAAAAAAAAGCCAAATTGAGCTATCTTATATGTCCATCGCAGGGAAATGGACCCAGTACTTAAGCGTTTTAAGTCGGTAAACTTATTGCTATCTCATCGGGGGATACATTTGCAGAGGGATAAGCTTCTGCTCTGAAAGGATAAAGACTTGCTGTGGGGTGGTGTATTTTCGTATGAGTTCTTTCTTGTGCGTGCGGACTGTTCATTGAAGTTTATTTGAAATTATTTTAGTTTCATGTCTTAAACCTGAAAGATATGTAATAAGTACAATTATGAAACGTGAAATAAACAGTTCTTAGTTATTTTCGTCAAACATGTTTGTTTCTTCTCATGTTAAAACTCCATCCAAACAAATATATGTTTGTTTCTTCTCATGTTAAAACTCCATCCAAACAAATATATGTTTGTTTCTTCTCATGTTAAAACTCCATCCAAACAAATATTCTATTAAACGTTTTGTTATATGAGGTTAGTTTACCTGTGTGCTATTATTTTTCTAAACAGGGAATTTTATAAACGAAAGTTAATTGAAGTACAGATGCCCTAATTGTCATATGGCGCACCGGGGTTTCTTGGTTATAGACTTTGAAACTGTTTGAAGCAAGTCTAACTTCACATCCATATTTTGACATGAAGTCTATTCACAATATGCATTCTTTCTCAATATTAATCACACACACTCACCATGAAGGTGTCTTCCAACTTTCGTTTTGTTTGAACATTATGGCCACTTACTTTTCATATTGTTACGTCTCCGTTTGTTAATTAACTTTCCGTAACTTCGTTCCAACGAAACTTTAACGACACAAGTCTTTA